GTAAATTTATTTCTGCTAGGATTTTATTTTTACAAATTCAGGTCCAAATTGTAATTTTCATTATTTTCCCTTACGAAGCCACGGGCTACTGGGATAAATTGATAAATTAAATCACTTTAATATTTAGATAATTTTTCCTTTTTCATTTTATCCCTGTAGTAGATAACATGCTAACATTGTCAGCAATTTGTTCAGCAGGATTTCTTTTCAAATAATGGAAATAAATTATTACTTGCACTCCTTATTTCTTTAGAAACAGCTGTAGCGGAGAGGGGGGCATAACGGGGACGTTAAGGAAAATACACGGTAAAATAATAAACGCAATGTATTTATTAATTAAAATTAATCACAACTCTTTGGTTACTTATTAATCTATCATTTGGCATAAAATTTTTAATTGTTAATATTTTGCGGCTAAAGATAAACTGGATTGAAAGACAAACATAACTTTCACATTGGAAAACTGTTGTCTTCATATTATAAACCCGAATTTAGTTATTTTCCTGTGTTTTATATCCTGACTAATATTATAAATTATAAATGCGAATGTAAGTTAGACAAGCCTTAAGTACTCAACTAATTATCATGAAATTTTGTACACCCATTGTCGGAGGTAAAGAAAAGGACATAGGTTTTATCAGGAAAAACAAAAAATACTGTTCCCAAGGGACAGTATTTACTATCATTCTAAGCAAAGTGTATGTTTAACGTATAAAATAAGAAACTTTAGTTTTATCCTGATGATCCTGTCAAGAGTAAATTTAGAAAATTATTGTATTTTGGATGATATTTGACACGTATTTAGGACATCAACACGAGCGAAGCCGCGAGTAATTACATATGTATGTATGTATGTCATTTATTTACTAAAACAGTACACTATTTTATATAGGTACATGTTCGGGGCGAAATCACAAAAGTCCTTAAGATAGTTATATACCATTCAACCATTAGTTTAGTTGAGATCCAATTAAGCTGCCGGCAGACCTGATGATTCTTGACTCGCATTGTTAACCATTGTAGCGGCTAATATTTATTCATAAATCCATTAACGTGTTTCGGGCTGCTCATTATCGTGAACTGATGACGTGTTCAGTCACAAAACAAATTTAGCCAATTTAGCGTTTCAAAACTTTCCGCATCCTAGGTGTGTTTTGAGACTGTCGCGTCTGTCAAAACTCTTTAGGTTGTACCAAACTTCTTCTACTACCGACTACCGCAGCTGTCCGGTTCAGTTGTCCGATGGCATGGGCCAGTGTTATCAGTATGAGTAGCATCACTTGCTGCTGGACTGGACATACATGAATAAGCCGTGGCAAGACGCATTTA